AGCTCTGTACTGGGCCACTTTTAGATCTGTCAGCAGTGTGAAAGCTAAGTGTGGAGGCTGAAACACTGAGGCCTAGAAAACACCTCCCCAGCCAGGCAATAATGAGCCCTGCGAACAAGGCAGGCTTGTAAAAAGGGGTGCCAAAAAGGGGACTTAGAAACCACCTTCGATTCCCTGAACCTTTCAGTGGATGATTCTTTGTAATTGAGATGTGTGAGTGTGAAAAACCTCCTTAAGCTCCTTAAATGGACAAACTTTACACTTTAAAATGACTGCTGCTACTTTTATTTGTGCTGTGTGACACATTATGATGCACTTTTTTTGATTTTTCTAGTACAGATCTAACATATCTTGGCTGATCAACTAAATTTTTTTTCCCCTGAACTATTTGCTTTAAAACAGCCTCTGCTTGTGAAGCTGCTCATGTTCTGGAACCGTGGCAGTGTTTGGACTGAGGCCAGATGGAGGCTGGCCTGTAGAGGGCAGTGTAGGGGAGCAGGAAGCTGCAGGCTGAATGGCGTGCGAGCCCGAGCACTGGCAGCGGCGTCCCGGGCCGGAGGAGAGAGGAACGGAGTGATTCATCCGGGCCGGAGATGCTGGGATGGGTTTCGTGCCGTGGCTCACTTCCGCTCCGTCTCCCTGGAGACGAGGGTGAGTAAACGGCCGGAAATGCCTCTGCTCTGCCAACCACGGGCCTCTGGAGCAGATGTGTGTGCGTGCAGGGAAAGGCAGGGCTAACCAAACCCCCAATTTCTTTTCATTAGTTTCATTACAGATGACTTTCAAGCATAACAACATTACTTTTTTCCACTGTAATACAGGGCTGAACGATTTAGGCAAGAAGCATTATTGTGATTTCACTGACCAGTGATTTAAACGTGATTATTTTGTGTAAATTATGCTTCTGACATTTTTTGCCTGTCTGAAACTTAAAGGGCCCATATCCTACATTTTTCCTGCATTTTACACCACTTACAATATTTGTACTAATTCACTGTTACATGACCATTTTCCAACCTGCCTTTCTCCCGGAGGATGAAACAGGCTGTTTTTGTTGTTTTGTTGTTTTTGTTACTGTGCCTTTAAGACTGATATGTTAATGAGCTCTGCTCTGATTGGCTGTCCTGCATTGTGCCTCGTTCAAGAAACACTCCTTAGAACTCTGATGTCATTCGGTGGGGCTACAGTGCTGTAGGCTGAATAGGTGGATATATGGAAATGAGTTGGTTCTTGTGACATCACAAAAAATGACTATATCGCTGCTGTCAGAACAAAACCTCGTATCTCCATTTTTGTCGTTTTTCAGTTTTTGTCATAATTTGAAAATGTCTGTTGTCCTTCACTTTGTGCGTAAATATCATGAAGAATGGACCAAAAGAAACGGCCCAGAATTACTTGGAAAAAACTCTGGTTCCACTGACTTATATTAAAAATAAAGTATGTATTTTTCTTCGTCATTTTGGAGAAATGAGGTTTTCCTCCGACAGCAGCGATATATGGGATGCCTAGTAAATGGTATATTGTGAAACTTTAACAGTGTTTATATATTATTTCAAACTGTGAGATTGGGTTTTTATGACATGGGCCCTTTAAAAAAGTTGAAAAATGTAGGTTACCGTTAAAATAGCAGATTCGAAAATTGCAGGTGTTTTGATTTTGAACGATTAATCATTCAGCCTTACCACAGCATTATGTTGCATTATGTTTCTTTTAGGCTTAACAAAATATTTTGGTTCCAGTCCAGGCTTTTTTCCATGCTGTCTGAGTAACAGTCTGAGTAAAGTGCAGACTGCTGGGAAAAAAGGCCCAGAAAGTGAAAACACAAGGGAAAAAAAAACAAAAACAAAACACATGTAACTCCTTACGCATGTAAACGTTATGGAAAACTGGTTTGTTTTGCCCTCACACTGCACCACACCACACCACACCGCATCACTCCGACAGAAAACTCAAAACTTCACTTTAGGCCCCAGCAGAGCAGAGCAGTTCGGCTGGCCGAGGTGGGGGGGGGTGGTTGGGGGGGTTAAATGCTGTTACACCAATCTGCTGTTGTACATTAACAGCGTATGTTTGGTGCCAGAAACTTGCGCCAGTTTGTGCTCCTGTCCCAGGATGCCCTGTTCCTCACCCCAACAGCTGCAGCGGGTGGGGCGTCCACCATGCCATGTAACATCTTCAAGGAACAGACAGAGAACATTTAAAAAAACATACAGGGTTCATACTTCCTCTAAAACATGAAAAAAGGAAAATAAGACAAAATCCTCAGGGGCTACAGAGAGAGAGAGAGAGAGAGAGAGAGAGAGAGAGATATAAGAGAGAAAGAAAGAAAGAGTGAGAGAAAGAGAGAAACAAGAAAGAGGAAGACAGAAAGACTGAGAAATGGGAGAGAGACAGAGGGAACGAGAGAGAGGGGGAAGAGAGAGAGACAGAGAAATGAGGAGAGAGAAAAAGAAAGAGAGGGGAAAGAAAGAAAGAAAGAAAGAAAGAGAGAGAGAGAGCAGGGGGAGAAAAGAGACTGAGAAAAAGGGAGAGAGAGAAAAAGGGAGGGAAGAGAGAGAGAAAGAAAGAGAAACAAGATAGATGAAGACAGAGAGACTGAGAAATGGGAGAGAGATAGAGAGAACAAGAGAGAGAGGGTAAGAGAGAGAGAGAGAGAAAGAGGGTGAGAACAAGAGACTGAGAAAAAGGGAGAGAGAGAGAAAAAGGGAGGGAAGAGAGAGAGAAAGAAAGAGAGAAAGGAAGAGAAACAAGATAGAGGAAGACAGAGAGACTGAGAAATGGGAGAGAGATAGAGAGAACAAGAGAGAGAGGGGTAAGAGAGAGAGAGAAAGAGGGTGAGAACAAGAGGAGGAAGAGAGAGAGACAGAGAAATGGAGAGAGAGAGAAAGAAACAGAAGGGAAAGAAAGAAAGAAAGAAAGAAAGAAAGAAAGAAAGAAAGAAAGAAAGAAAGACTACAGTTAAACAACTGACCACTCTACTATGTGGCCCAAGGGCACCGTCACCAACCGATTCTTTTGATCTGCTCCCATGTATTTCGAATCAATTTCACTGATTCAACTGATGTCACTTTATTCTTTATTCTAATCTCCACCACATACAAGGACTCTGAACGTCCATAACATCTACTCGCTAATGGAGTCGGACTCCAACGAGACAACAAGGCTCACATTTTGCGACATTACCGTTCGAAGGCTAATAGAGCTCTTCAGTCTATGACACGGGCAGAGATTTCACAAGTTCGATTCATCTGTGACTGATTCAACGAAACTGAACTAGTTCTGTTCACAAGCCAGGCCTCAACAATGATTAACGCTGGGTAGAGTTAACATTTTTTCAGTACCGATACCAAGACCTCGACTTCAACAAGGTCTCATCAAGATGCCCCCCGCTCTACTCTGAATTAGGCATTCCCGAAAAGCTCCATAGGAACCCATTCATCTGGAGCGCCCTCTAGTGTCTGACTAACCCAAAACACAATGTCGGGTGGTAGTTCTTCTGCCTAGAAATCCTCTGGTGTCACCCATCACACTACACCAACCACGGTGTTGTAAAACATTTGGTCGTAACCACAAAAGCACGGAAGCTCTAATGAACAGAATAAGAAGAAACAAAGACGAGAGGCTCTGATGGACAAACAGAGGAACTCATTTCAGGGCTGAAGGGTCATTTACTGAGCTACACTGCTGACGCAGAGAGGGTCAGTCTGTGTTTTTGGTGGCAAACTGGCGCAGTTGGCTGTGGTCATCCCCGGCTGACACAGAAACCGTTAAAGACCACTGTAGAGAGCAAGCATCCAAACACACACAAGCTCAAACACATGCATGCACACACTGCAAACACACCCCCCGTCTGTGGGGTCTGACCACCTGTTGGAGTGTGTGTGCAGTGGAGGAGGGCTTTGTGTAAACACGTCAGTGGAAGTTTCCGGACAGGGCTTTCCCAGACTTCTGCCAAACACCAGAAATACATCCCCCTTTCTGCTTCTGCTGCGGAAAGAGAGGCTCTGGACCTCCTCAAGCGGTCAGTTCAGCGTCATTTGTTGTCAGTAGTTTGGCAGAAAATCTAATCTATACCGTTTCTTCTCTTGTAGTCGATCAACAAAGACATGTCTGGTGTCTGAAGTTTGCTTCTCTAGTCTTAGTACCGGAGCTACAAGGCTAATGTAGCTAACAGGTAGTGGAAGCTTAGAGTCACCAAGTAGCAGTGTGCAAACGACACACCTAGATTGTCACATATTTTACAATTTCAAAATAAAAGTCCTGTACAATTATACTTTTAAATATAAAGTAACATCATTCACTTGAACACTAACACGTTTATTGAAAACCTTAGATGATATTAACATATTATGGTTACTATCAGTATTATTTGTACTATTAGTTGTAGTATGCTAAAAAAAATGAGGTATTTACAAAAAAAGTGGCTGATAAAGAAATCTGAGTGGCTAATATGACATGGACTGAGACAGGTGGGTTAAAAAGTTTGCCACCCTGCTGTGCCAGTAAGCTATATTCATGGGAATTACAGGCCAGTATATGGTCGCTGTCCAAAGAAAACCATGTATGTTCATTTTTGTCGATTTTTATTTTTCACCATCATTTCAACACGCCAGCTGTCCTTTACGTCGTGTGACTTTCATGATGAATGGACCAATAGAAATGCTCTAAAATCACTTGGAATAAAGCCTTGTTTTATTCCAAACCTTAACCCATCCCAGGAGATACTTGTTTTTCTTTGGACAGTGACAATATGTTAAGTAGTTAAAATATTTGAAAAAAATGTAGGGACTTTTTTTCCCCGCATATTTTCAATCGCCCCCTCTTTGGAGAAGACCCCCTGGCTAGTAATCCCCAAATAATTTGAGTATGAAACCCCTAGCCTAAGTTCTCCTTTCTTTAGGAATCTCGATGTCAGCATCCAGGATAACTCGGCCTTCGCTGATTTCTTAAAAAGGGCATTATTTGTTCAAACTGTCCACCAGCAAATATCATTTGCATACCTGAATAGTGACGTTGCGTGAAGTTTCAGTCCGATTTTGTCCTCTTCACCCAGCCCCATAAATCGAAGGGGGAAGTTGCTATGAACTGATATAGCACACTAACAAAGAGAATGAGTTGAGTAAGCGATAACGGCTCCGGTTCCTGAGAGGTAGGCGGGCGTGGGGTCATTAGTCCAGCCGGAAGAGGACAGCGTATTGATCCAGCGTGATGTTTGAAAGAAGCCAGGTTTCGCTGACACAGTCCAGATATCAATAATCAATACAGCCTGCAGCTGCAGTGAGCTGTAACTATAATCTACTGCCCATTCACACGGAAGAGAGAGAAAGAGCTTTTTAACCCTTTAAATTCCCAGGCCCATTAAATCCTAAGACTTACTGTTCAGTAACTGCATGGAAAGCAATGCAATCTGGCTGAGTTATTCATAATTAATAGAAGTCAATAGCAATATAATATCAATATCTAATAATCTCTCACAAAACAAAAATTTACATTATCAGAACAGCCTATAGTGGTGCACTGTGATTGAACAGGGAGTCTAAGTTGAGCAGTAAATGGCTGAGAGTGAAAATTCGAATTTAAACTGGTGAACAGCTCAGTAATGTAAGATGACGAAGTGTTGAAATTCTCTAGAAAGTTTATTTAATAATAATTTCTCTTATGGATTAAGTTAACTTATGTTTTTTAGGTGCCTTTTAAAGTCTATACACTTTATAGGCCTTATCTGACTTGCAGTGTTTGTTCCTTGGAGATGTGGCGAGTATCTAATTACATGCAAAAGTTTAAACACCTCTTGTGAAATGACCTGTTTTGTTCATGTGCAAATTTTAATAGCTGAGTTAAACATACTGGATATAAAATGTGCCACAGTCTGCTAATGTACATTCCATATCTACTAATGTAGCTAGCTAAATATACTAGATTGTACACAGAGGCCCAGAGTTGCCTTTAATAATATTAAAATGACTCTCTTTCCCTTTTTCTCTAGTGTTTTTTATGTCATTCAATAAATTCTTATAACATTCAAACAACCGCAACTTCCTCTGAGGTCGGATTTTATTCGTAGTATATTGTACTGAACTGTGTCGTGCACTCTTTACTGAAGTGGACCTTTTTTTGAAGAATGCGCTAATGACCAGCCTCAATCACAAGGTCAGTGTTATCGACCAGGTGATTACATCACACACACACACGCACACACATGCTCAATGAATGCCCTGCAAGCTACGGGGGATGCAGTGACCTATTAACTCACTGTCCTCAACACAACAGTTTTATACAATGTCACAACGTGGGATCAAATGCATTATACACATCCTTAAAAAAAGATGGTTCCTCAAGGGTTCTTTAGTAAAGAAAATGGTTCTATATAGAACCATGAACACTTAAAGAACCCTTTGCATGATTAAAGGGTTCTTTGCATCATGAAAGGCTTCCTCAGATTGATGGAGAATGTGTTGTATATGGTTCTATATAGCACCAAAAAAGGTTCCACTATTGTTACAAGCCCTTTTTGCTAAGAGGGAAGACATATAAGTATCTACCTACCAATATACATACATATGTAAGCATGTAATATAAGACTATATGTAATAACAATGTAAGACTAAGCATGTAGGAAAGACTATATGTAATAACAATAAACCTAACCCTAAATTTAACCCCAGTAACCAAAAACAAACGTTTTCACTCTTTCTCTCAGTGAGGGAGAGAAGAGGAAATGAGAAGGTAAAGAATGAAGAATGGAAATAGGAGGAGGGACAGAGTGAGTAAGTTGGGTGAAGAAAGAGAAAACCATCAGGGAATAGCCTAAAAGGCCCTGAGGCGGTCGTCACTCATTGATTGGGTCAGCGGTGTACAGTCAAACGGGGCCCAGTTTCACTGCATGACCCAGAAAGGACACCATGTGCGTGTATGTTTGCCCGTCTGCACACGCACAAGCGAGAGGGCACAGACATGTTGGTGTCTGTCTCTGCGCCCTCTCGCTCAGATAAAACCCTCGTCATGCTGGTGAGTGTATACAAGAGCGTATAGGTCGGAGCATGTTCGGCTGACTGAAGTTTGCTTTGGAGTGCTCGAGAAGTCTAGAAGTGAATTGAAGTGAATTAAGTTAATAGTTGTTACTCATAGACAAACTTTCCACTGGAGACGATCCAAAATCTGGTTTTTTGTTTGCCCTCATTGTCACAGGCTGTGGGGGAAATCGCTGAGTAAGGTTCGCTCTGCCCGGCTGTTATAACGCAGATGACTTATAACATCAGTTAATTAATAGAAATCCATCCAAAAAAGTGTTGCTATGAATTTACCAGACTCAAACGTTTACATCGGTCCCACACTAATAAAATACAGCAACACAATTCTCGCCAAAAATAAGTTAAAGAACGACAATAATTACGCTGATGTCACATTGAAAGTAAATTCAAAGCAATATTTTTTTTCAGTGGGCTCACATACAAATTAGTGGTTTACACTCCTCTCTATGGTTACGCAACATCAGTTTTCATGGTTAGGCTACTGAAGACTCACACTAGTACTGGATGAATGCAGGGCAGCACAGTTCTTTTTTTATGATTAACAGTTTTAATTGATTTTCATCTTAGATTAATGCAAAACAACATATATTTGTATTATTGCAACGACACCCTTTACCCTCCCCCTTCCCACCCCAACTGTGTCTGTACTACATTCATGACCTGACCTAAGCCAGTGCAGTTCAAGGATCTGCATCACAAATAAACAAATAAATAAATAAGTAAATAAACAGTAAATGTTTCAGCAAACCGTAGATATAACCATAGACACACAAGTCTTAAAATAAACAAACAAATAAATTAATTAATTAATGTAAAAATATAACAACAACAAAGGGGGGGGGGTCACACCACGGTACTCATCTTTAAGAACTCTCGTTAAATCTTAAATATTTGCCCAATTTACATCTGCGCACTTCTAAATCCCCAAACAATTCAAATTATAATTTTTTTCAGTAACTTTGCCCATCTCAGCAACCCGTTCTTTAAATTATGGAGGACCCTGCTTCCTTCCACCTCCTAAGGATGATTTGCCTACCAATAATTAAACTGGTCTGCTGAGAAAACTTGCAACATGTATAACAGCAGCTCAGAAATCAATAAAAACAGCTATTATAAACATATAAATACATTTATTTATCAAGTATAGCTTAACTTGATAACTTGGTGTTACAGTAACCTAGTTAAACACCAACAGCACAAATGTATGTAACGCATGATTAGCAGCATCCAGCTCGCAGCAAGCAGCAAAAATTAGACTTGAGGCTTATACATCCGCCGGTCCTTTCATTGTGGTCTATCCGTAAAGCTGCTGCCGGTGTAAAAGGCCCACACTGATAACACTACGGAGCTTGGCAGTCAGTGCTGAGGTGTAGAAGCATTGTGCTTACTGCTTCTGATGCTCTGTTATAGTGGTGGCACACTGCCATTGAGGTACTGTGGTGATCAGCCCTGTGGCCTATAGAATGGAGGCTGTTCTTGAATCAAAGCACTGAGTAAATAACTCAGATCCCAATTTAAATATAGCTGTCTGTGCAACCCAAGCTATTAAACACTATTAGGGTGAAAAAATGTGTTTCAAATGTTCACAGCTCACTTTGAAGCTTAAGACCAAAATGATCCCAAAAAGAGAAGAACAGCTCCTAACTATTCAGCAGAAAATGAAGAAGTGATGATGATAATCCATTTTGTCAGCACTTCTTAAAACCATACAGTTGTAGTTACTAAGATTAATTAAGAGAAGTCTTAAGGTTAGAGACTAAACATTAAGCCTGCAGTTCAAGGGGTTAATTCAGTGTTCGCTTGCTGACTTCACGGAGCTTAACTGGAACTGCCTCTGGTGACTCTGAGGTTGTGGGGGAGGTGTGAGCGGCCAGGTCCAGTTCAGTGGCCGGGCAAAAATCAATGGCTGAAATTTCACCAAGGGAACATTGTGAAATATCAAATTATGTCAAGTGCTTATTACACAGAGTACTTACTACAAGAGGCGAGGAGAGTTCAGAGCCTGCCCAGGCTCATTAGCCCCACTCTCCTCTGCCCTGACGAACATTTTCAAACGTCTTTTAGATACAGTAGGCCGTTACGTGCTCTCGTGTACCAGTGCGGTGCGTCAACAATGGCCCTTCACATATATGGGAACAATGCAATGACCTTATAGGTCAGATGACCACGGTGTGTGTGTGTGTGTGGCTGGACTGAGTAAGTAAACACACCGAGGACTGATTGAATAAGAAGGACTGTCAAGAGTCTTTGTCAGATGTTACATCAGAATTCTGACCGATGAGTCCAGTCCAGGATACGGGCGATCGCATTAGTACAGAAACACAGTGAAGCGGTAAAGCAGGAAGGCCCACACATGCATTCCTCACTACCTACACAACCAGAGAAACACACTATACAGTATCAGTTTACCCTTAAAAAAGATGGTTCTTCAAAAGGAACGGTTCTATTTAGAACCATGAGTTCTATGCAGAGCCATTTGCTTGCTAAATAGTTCTCTGCATGGTGAAACTGTTCTTCAGATTGATGGAGAATGTGTTATATATGGTTCTACATAGAAGCTTTTTGAAAATTGTTCTGTATATCACCAAAAAGGGTTCTGCTACTGTCATACTGTCAAGCTTGTAACAATAGAAGAACCCTTTTGGTGCTATATAGAACCATTTTTTTAAAAACTCTCTATGTAGACAACACATTTTCCGTCAATCTGAAGATCCAATTCACAATGCAAAGAACCATTTATGCATGAAATGATTCCATACAGAATAACTAAAGAACCCTTGAAGAACCATCCTAAGAATGTACATAAATGCAACCAAGCTAGCATTAATGTAACTCTACACACTTAAAAATGATGGTTCTTCAAGGGTCCTTTAGTAAAGAAAATGGTTGTATATGGTTCTACATAGAACCCTTTTTAAAATTGATTTACATAGCACCAAAAAGGGTTCTGCTATTGTCACACTGTCAAGGGTTCTGCCATTGTCACACTGTCAAGCGGTCAAGAACCCTTTTGGTGCTATATAGAACCATTTTCAAAAAGGTTCTAGTGAAACCATATACAACACATTCTACATCAATCCCTTGAAACCCTTGAAGAACCAACCTAGGAATGTACAGTAATACAACCAAACTAGCATTAGTGTAACTCTACACACTTAAAAATGATTGTTCTTCAAGGGTTCTTTAGTAAAGAAAATGGTTCTACATAGAACCATGAACATTCAAAGCACCCTTTCCATGACTGAAGGGTTCACTGCATCATGAAAGTTAGTTTAATCAGATTGAAGGAGAATGTGCTATAGATGGCTCTATATAGAATCTTTTAGAAAAAGCATGGTTCTACATAGCACCAAAGGGTTCTATTGATATGATGTCAGGCTTGTTACAGTAGAAGAACCCTTTTGGTGCTATATAGAACCATTTTCAACTACATATAACCACAGAAAACACAATGACTGAAGCACATGATTGACACCATCAATCTGAAGGTCTGTTCCACCATGCAAAGAACCATTTATGCACGAAATGATTCCATACAGAATAAATAGAACCATTCCCTTTACTAAAGAACCTTGAAAAACCATCCTAAGAGTGTACATAAGTAAAACCAAGCTAACATTAGTGTAACTCTATATAGCACCAAAAAGGGTTCTTTTGTTGTTTCAAGCTTTCAGCCAGAGAAAAGAAGCCAAACTGAAGTATCTAGATACCTTTCCAACTTTAGCCTTTTGCTTGTTGTCCTCCTCATGTGATGAGATGGTTCTGCTGTTTGAGTTCTCCATTCTCTCTAATGTAACAATGATCTAAAGAAGTTTCTACAGCTATATGGCTTCAATTCAATACTCTGCTTCTAGCATTGAACACTAGCTAGTTACCTTCCTTCTGCATTCACCTGCACAACACTTCAAAACAGCCCACCTGCACAAATCCACCCAGAGCAGCTGTAGGTTTTCCTCCTACCTTCAAGAGCCATCATCAGAAGGTAGTATTTCTAGTTTTCAAACCAGAAAATCTCCTTCTAGAGCCCATGTGTCAAACACAAGGCCCGTGAGCCAAGTCAGGCCTGTGGTGCAATCCTACTCACCCTGCAAAATTATTTTAATTTTCTATTAATATTAGCCCATTTCACCATGAGCTGCACTACAATCCCCAGCATACACCGCAACATAACACACACTCTGACCCCCTGCAGGTTTTGGACATCACTGTTGTTGGAAGAAAACCTTGTATCTCCAATATGGCAACTTTACAGGAGAAGAAAAAAACATGCTTTACTTTTAATGTAAGTCAATGGAACCAGACTTTTTTCCAAGTCATTTTGAGCCATTTCCTTTAGTCCATTCATCATGAAATTTACATACAATGTAAAAGGTAACAGGCATTTTCAAATTATGTCAAAAACTGAAAAACGGCAAAAATGGAGATACAACGTTTTGTTTTGACAGCAGCGATATACTGTATAAACAATGGCCAGAACAGGTCACAGCAAAATGTTCAGTAAAAATAAAAACACAGTTGACGGATTTGCTGAGATTTTTTAATACGGTCCTTTTAGTTGTTGAGTGTGACACCCCTGTTCCACAGACTACTTCGTCATGCGAGTCACGTTTACAACAGATAAGGGTTCGATTTTTAGCCAGAGCGCCCCTTGAACTGGGATACACCAATGCCAGTACACAGACGAGACACTGCCCAGACCTAACACACACATCACTGGAGCACTGAACATCTCTGAACAGAGATCATGCCAAAACAAGACCAGGCGGAGTTACCATACCACATTTTTACACTAAGCTAAGCGGGACATTAAAGAGATCTCCCTTTTGTCTGATGAAACCTGACTAGCCTTGATTTGCATGCAGAACCATAGCCAAAAGTGGGTAGTATCTAGTTCCATTTCCTCTATTCTGTGCTCCCCACTGCAATTCTGTTGGATTCTAAATGAGAATACTTTTACTTGCACTCAAACATATTCATGAGACACTTTTTCCTCAGTTCTATTGTAGCCTTTCACATTTTCTAACCCATTACATACTTTTTGGGGGGTTCCTTTCATTCTGTTCTGTCAGTTCAGCTCCTGCACTGCTTTACTGCTGCTCACACAGCTCACTTTGAAGCTTTAGACCAAAATGACCCCAAAAAGAGAAGAACAGCTCCTAACAATCTTCAGTGCCCATGCTGATAGATGCTGGGTGGTTCTACACCCTCATACTTTTGTTTAAGTTGTTTTTTTTACTTATACCTGTCACTATTTAGTAAGTAACAATACTTATAATTGCAGGTGGTTTAAGATTACTCTGTGCGACTCTCCTCCAAGATTTGAGCCAACATTTTCCACGTCTTCTATTTCTGCAAGACCAAGCAAACTCCATGCAACGTAAACCCCCCCTCAGGATGGAGCAGCTGGGCCCGTAGGGCACCTTGATCTCTCTCTCTCTCTCTCTCTCTCTCTCTCTCTCTCTCTTCATGTCCCTTACCCACACCAGCAAAACTGGTCTTGCAAGGCTGTACGAATTCAGCCAACTGCTGGGCTCATTTCAAGTCTGTCCACTTAGATCAAGCTCGCCTTTTTCCCTTCCCATGTCAACCCAGGCC